GAGAACATGCAAACTCCACACAGAAAGACCCCAGCCTGATGGTGGAATTGAACTCAGGACCTTCTTGCTGTGCGGCAACAGTGCTAACCACCGTGCCTTCTGCCTCCCATTCTACTTTCAAATACTCAGGAACCCCAAAGAAGCCCGCAGTATGAGAGTGAAGTGCTTTAATGGGGTGATACCATACCGTAAGGTCATTAAGATAAGATGGGGCCTGATTATTCAAGACCTTGCCATTGCTTCTATGGTGCGTCTGTTATTTTAACCTTTTACTTGTTTACTTAGTAAGTCTTTACTGGAACTGGACTGAGTGCAAATTCCACTATAATAGACAATGTAACAGCCTTTAGTAAATGATTCCAAGCAAATTCCTTTTGCATTAGGAGGAAGTCCCTGTTGCCTCATTGTCAGTGGTCTTCTGTAAAGGCCAAATTGCAGTTGAAAGTAATGTCATGACTTGCTGAAAACAGACCTCCACTTATACTACTTTCCAGTTTCCCCTTCTTCTATTTCTATCTCTCTCTCTGATTGATTTTCTTTCAAAAAAATCTTACTTTTGTTACAAAGTCTGACACGTTTGCCTTGCGTTTCTCTTTTTCTTCCCCAAGAGAAAGAAGGAGAACTTCACAGAGGATGTGACTGACCGTCGTCTGGTGTCTGTCCCTCCTCCTTCTTCCCAGCTGGATACCAGAGACAAACTCTGGCGCATCCACTCGGCGTTGCTACAATGCAAAAAGTTGCTAGAGACAGCTGTTGCCAAAGAGGAGGAGGAGCTGGGTGGTGGGAAGAAGGGTGAGTATGAGAACCAGAGGAAGCTGGTGAAAGAAAGGTTGCCGCTGCTCATACTTAGCACTGGAGAACTCCTCAAAGCTGCTGAAGGCACGACTTCCCTGACTCCTAGTGTGGAGGGCTTGGAGGTAGGTCCTGAGGTGTTAAAGGTAAAGGTGAAAGTGTTGGACTGAAACTAAAGCATGGTTAACAGTTGTCTCCTCTTTTCATTGGCAGGTAAATGTCCCAACCGGTCTGCTTGACCTGAAGCTTTGGGTGTACCGGGTCTACAAAGAGGTCAACTACTGGAGCAAGACGGCTGCTAACACCTTGAAAGACCTGCCCTCGGTCATCGTCAAGGAAGGAGCAAGGACCACGCGGGCCAGGAACAGGAGAAGCACTCGGAGATGAGATGGAGATGTGGGAAGGGTCGATGAGGAAGGAAAAAGATTAGGGAGATAAATGGCGGAGATTGGTGAAGGGGTGAAGGTATTGAGAAGGTAGTTGCAGAGCAAGGGGTCCAGTCAATGTCAGGAACAAAGTAAAAGATGGGGAACAGAAATAGAAACAGCCAGCTGCAAGAGACAGATTACTACTGACACAGGGAGATGAGAAAACTGGGTTACTGTTGATGAACCAAGGCTGCAGATATATATTTATTTATATATATATATATATATATATATATATAGAGAGAGAGAGAGGAAAACATCATGCTGTGACATTTATGGCAGAGTGTAGTACATCTCTATTCTTTCTTTCTTTCTTTCTTTCTTTCTTTCTTTCTTTCTTTCTTTCTTTCTTTCTTTCTTTCTTTCTTTCTTTCTTTCTTAGTTTAGGCTTACATGTGCCACTCCTTTGATACAACTGAAACGATTTCCTTTGGATGCCCTGCAGCACACGAAACATGTGATCAGCAATGGGCACATTTAATTTATATTAGCTGTAAACACTGGGGCTATCATAACACGCAGATCATTTCTTGGAGATGTTGAGTGCATGAAAGAAAAAATATGTTAGCAGCACCCTCTAGTGTTTACATAGTGCAACTGCTTGGAGTCCTCCTTTTCTTTCTTAATTTCCTCTGTGATGTTAAGTATCTTAATTTAATATTATGTTTGTGGTTTTTTTGAGCACTTTATTAGCATGAAATAAATCAGTCTAACCTCGTCAATGATTCGGGCTCTAAAGCAGGAGTATAGCATAAATATTCTATACTCCTAAAAGCCAAATGTTTGCAAACTCGCGCTATAAAAAGAAACAAGGCCTTAAAACATTAATAGAGATAATTTCATGTGCAACTTTTATTTGTTTTAATGCAAAAGTAGCTGTTTTACATGATCTACATGCATCAGTTGTACTTTACAACAGGCACACGGCTCTTTTTGACTGCGTCTGCAGTCACATACACAGTAACTGGTTAAATTGATCACGTATCAGATAGTATCAGAGTCAGAAGCGATGCCCAATTCCTACCTTACCTGTCTGCCTAACCTGGATGAGGCTGCTAATTAAATTAGCCGAAGACTCAGATTGTCTTTAAAGATGTATGAAGGCTCGGGGTAAGAAACAGAGAAGATAAAGTAAATGGGATCCTTTATAGGGAAGTCTTGCCTAGATAGGCACTTATCCATAATGATGTGGAGGATAAATTAGACAGAAAGGCTGATGGAAGAGTTTTAGCAGGTATTTTACAAAAGCACTCTTTTTATTCTAACGACAAGGGCACCATTTATATTTCAACTTTTTATAAAGGTTTTCTTCGCTTGGCTCTGTGCTTGCTGTGTTTAGCATCTGTGGGCTGGTTAACTGACGGTAGGTGCACTGGGAGTAAACAAGACCGTGTGATGTTCGGGGCACCTCGACTGTTCACCGGCTTTTTTTCCAACTACATTTTTGCACCGGAAGGAGACCTAAATGCATTTGGTCATTTGAAGTCTGATTAATTTCGGAGATGAAATGTTGCCCCTGAGAAAATCAGACTTACTCAAGCTATTGGCTTCATCTGTTACCCGCACACCAAACAGCACAAAATCATTCTGATTATCTGCTTTGGAGTTTCAGCAGTGTTTTTATGTGATTCACTGTTAATGAAATATGGCTGCTGTGTACACTGTATGGGTTGGAGATGTAGTTTGTTTCCTCTTGCTCATTACTCTGTCATTACTGCTGCTGGAGCTCACAAGGCTGACTTTTCTTTTCATTTATTCTCTGTCTCTCGTTCTCAGTTCTTTAAATTGTAGAGGTTTGGTTTGAAGTAGACCAAGAGCCATTAGAGGTTAGAAGAGGTGTATCAAATTTGGCCAAAAACTAAAGAACGGGATGTAATTTAAAATTTAGAGTCCAGTTTAAATAACGCAGTCCTTGCGAACAGTTCTTTATAATCCAGTATAAGAAACTGAGTAATTGCAAAAGCTGCCTGCTGGCTTTTCACAGTGAAAGAAGGCTCTAGTTAAGGTTGGTGGCAATGACTGTGTGGCCTGTGCCTTGATAGCTGAAAGGGAAATAGTCAGTTTAGGCAGCACATTTTAGAAAGTATTACACTGACTTCAAGATTCAATGGCTTCATATTTAAAACTTTTATTCTGTCTGTGCCATTCCTAATAATCTGTCTGATATGGTCTGACATACCACTACATTTATTCTTTCCTTTGCTAACATTTTCATGGAAAGCACCGCGGTTACATTCCTCGCACACCAATTGTTTTGTTTTTGTGTATTCCTAAGATTGACTGATTTTCGGTTTTACACTTTTATCAGTGTGTGATCTTTACAAATACAGTTTGTCACACCACAAGGCGCTGTCTTTCTTTTTTAACCTCTGGGGAAGACCAACTGAGCTACAGACAAATAGGTTAAAACACAAAGGGAGGATCGGGTTACCATCACGGCTTCATACACAGCAAACACACTGTAGCAATAGTGCATGCTGTAAAGATTGTAGTAATAAAGAATGTATGATTAATTCCAGAAAGTTGACTCTGTTCAGTTGCATAATGGTCAAATCAAGCACCGCTGTTTGAGTGGGGAGTCAAGGAGGCCATTTCTATAAAACCATCCTGCAGGGAGCCATTCCCCGACTCTGTGAAGGGTTCACATGGACGCTGATCAGTGGTCATGAGAGTCTGTGTATGTGTCATGTAGTGGGACAGCTTTTAATCATTAATGCAGCTGTACTGTTTATGTGGTTGGAAGAAGTCACCTGGATGAGTGATGAAACGTTTTTTCACACTGAACAACTTCCTGGGATTTCATTAGCTGGATTAATGCGCATGCATTTAAACAATGTATGAGCAACTTCCTTTATCTCTGATGGTCTATGAAATGAATTGATGTACTCATCACTTTCTTTAATGTTATTGACATTTACATTTCTGGTCGGCCAACAGCAGCTGGGAAACAAGTTAGTTTGAACACACCGCTTTAACACTGTAAACAGAAAGTGACATATTAAAACTGTCTTCTGCAATGAGACAGATTTTTTTTAAAGTAAACTTTCAGATGTAACATTGCTACATTGAGTTCTGACTTTATTACATTAAGCAGACCTTTGTAGACATTTCTTGTCAACTGTTCAACCTGACAAAGGATGATAGGGAGGGCTGTAGTTAAGGGATGCTTTCTTCATCTTTTATTAATGATTCTTGTCTTGATCTTGATTTCGGGTCTTGATTTTATGTCTAAAAAAATAAAACAGAAATAGTGAAATTCCAATAGCACTTTCTGCAGACCATGTTGACATATTTAAATAACTTATTTTAATGCAAACTCAAAATGCTAAAAAAAAATCCAGTGCTCTATCTTAGAGTGCTGCATATATTCACAGGCCTACTTTTTCAACTATTTAGAACATTTAAAAAAAAAATAATAAATATATATATATATATATATTTTCTTGAAAAAAAAAAAAAGACCAGATGCTAAGATTTTCCCTGGGATTGAACAGAATCGACTGGATTAGAAGTGAGTACATCGCAGGGTCAGTTTAGGTCGAGGGATAAGTTAAAGAAATAATCCAGGGATGTTTGGACATTGACAAAGGATGTTGACGATGGAGCTACCAGGTAGGAGAAAACGAGGATGACCTTGAAAAAGATTTAGTGAACAAGGAGTCGCAGAGGCTTGGCGTCACTGGAGAGGATGTTGGGGATATGGTGAGATAGAAGCAGATGATCTGCTGTGGCGACCCCTAAAAGGAGCAGGAAGAAGAAGAAGATGAGTATGAATTTGGTGCCACTTCTATCAGGTACTAACAGGAAACTTCACACAGGCTCACCAAAAGTGCATCAGAGATTATAGAAACATTTCCTGGTTCTTTGACTCTCAGTTTCTCTTGGATGGTCTGGTCAGAATTTGGAGTAAACAACAACATGAAAGCATGGATCCATCCTGCCTCATATCAATGGTCCAGGCTGGTGGTCTATTATTGCTGACCACGTCTGTCCTTTTATGGACAGAGTGTACTCATCTTCTGATTGCTATTTCTACAGGATAACACACCCTGTCAGAAAGCTCAGATCATCTCGGACTGGTTTCCTGAACATGACAGTGAGTTCACTGTATTCAAAAGGCCCCCACTGTCAGATCAGATCTCAATCAAATAGCAGCTTTGGTGGAACAGAAGGTTCTCGTTATTGATACGCAGCTGAAAAATCTGCAGAAATTGTGTGATGCTATCATGTTAACATGGACCAAAAACTCTGAGGACTCTGAGTGTCCAGCACCTTGTTTAATCTATACCGTGATGAGTTAGGGTGGTTCTGAAGGCAAAAAGGGCGTCCCGCCTGGTACTAGCAGGGTCTACCTTTGATAAAATGGATGCTGACTGTACATCATCTAAACAGTAAGTCTCAAAAAGCCGGAAGTGAAATCTCAGGGGAGGAACCGTCTGACAGATGAGTCAAAGTTTGCCTCATCAGGTTTGTTACCATGATCTCTTTCAGGTTTGCACCAATGTCTTACAAGTTTGCCAAAACCAGCCTCCAAAAGTCTCTGCCGAGCCTTGTGCCTGAGTATGTCAAACATAACAACCCAGGATTATGTGTAAGAACACTATAATCTGGAGTTTGCCAGTGCTCGGTTAATTAGTGATTCTAAATTGGTCGTGCGTAAGCATGAACAGTTGCTTCTCAGTGTGTTAGCCCTGTATTGGACTGGCAGCCTTTCCAAGATGGTGTCACATGGTGTGGGCTCGAGCAACGCCCTCCCACAACCCTAACTGGATAGGTGGTCAGGAGTGTGGATGGATGGATGTCTTTATTTCTTTTTACACTGAGTTTACATAGAATGAAATGATGCATAAAATACATTTTCCATACCATTTATTTCAATTTGAGCTACAGTAAACTCACATCATTTACACTATCTTATGTCTAAAAGGGGTTTTAAACAGCTTAATAGAAACCAGACCTCCTCACAGTGGGAGTTTAAATGAAAATTTACAGTACCAGTTGGACAACAGGAACTCTAATTTGACAAACTCAGTACTGTTTAGCTCCCAGTTATGGCCGCCATGACTGCTTTACAGCAGTTGCATCATTTTGTTTATAGTTTGGTGTAAAAACTACATTTTTTTAAAAAGTTACTGATCGGATTTGTGAGGGTGTGTGAGTGGGCTGAAGTAAATTGATCTTGGCTAAAATTTCAGTTATTTCTTTTATTCGTGCTACTTAACAAAAGATTGGTGCACAAATGTTGGTGATGAGCAGTGTGTGTGTGTGTGTGTGTGCAAGAAGACAACGAAGAAAATGTCTGCTATTTTGCATTTTGAATGTGAACATTATTAGCGAGATTTTCAGTGCGTGTGTGTGTCGATGTTTGACTGTGAGAAAAAACAGGACGTGCGTTTGAGCAAAAGGGTGTGTTTTTGTTTATATGTGTTTATGCATATGTGCATGTGTGTGTAAGTGTTCATCTGCTCGTTTGTGTGTGTGTGGTTGTTAGGGAAGGAGTGGCAGCCAGGATGCCTGTGGAAGGGGTGTGTGTGTGTGCGTGTGTGTGTGCGTGTGTGTGTGCGTGTGTGCGTGTGTGTGTGTGTGTTTTCTAAATCAGTGTTTAAAGTGAGATGCACCGAGAGAAAATATGTTTTGAGTAATAACGCGACAGCATCCAATAAAAAAGCTCCAAAATAAAGGTTTCTTCTTCGTCTTCTTCTTTGAACTCGGGAGTTTTCTCTGATAGTGATCCTCTTAAATGAAGTGCCTGGGCTCTCTCACCGTCACTCCTTTAATTTAGTCGTTATAATTAACCATTAACTGGTGTCAGTTTCTGGGCCACTAACAGGCCCACTCAGTTCTGCTTGTCTGCATTATCACAGTTTGGGGGAGAAAGTAAATTATAATGAAGGCCTATATAGTCCAATTACTGATAAAAGCAGCTGAGTGTGCTCCTTGTAATTAGGTGCCAGTATCCCTCCTTCTTCCTCCTCCTCCTCCTCCTCCTCATAGAGTGACATGTTGGAGGGAATATGAGCCTAAAAGCTATTTTTTGTACCGTCAGCCTCTTTCTGTGTTCTTAACCTGACAACTTTCAATCACAGGTGAGAGGTCACGTCTCATCTCACAAACGCTTCCCTGATGTCGTCAGAGCACACGGAAGCAAAAGCAAAGAGGAGTAAGGTGAGGAGGATGAGGAATGAAGGACTGTGGGACAGCGAGAGGAAGCGGCTCCTTCTGTTCCCGCTCTAATGGGATGGAGCGGAGCTGTCTCTTGTAGCTCGGTCATGTAGTTCCCCACCAGAGCACTTACAAGTCAGCCCTGGTAATTAAACTGTACCATTCTCTCCCTCCTGTCAGGTGAGACAACATGCTTTGGAGGAGCGTGAATTAAGAGGAGCGATGGCTGGAGATGAACAGAGGAAGACCAAATTAAGGCTGCAGAGTGAAGGGCTTTGAATGCAGCGTTAATTCGAGAGACCGGACACGAGTTTTTATACATGACTGAACTGTGTGGAGAAGAAACTTCACCTCAGATCTTTCTTCTCTGAAACAATTCATTTAAACTCCATGGAAATATATCAGCCCACATTTACTCCTTTCTGGTGCAAGTGAGTCTGATATTAGCCCAGGTTCACCTGACGGGACGCACAGACTCATTTCTCCCTGCTCGGGCTGGTTTCTGAAAGTGAATCTTTTCTGTCTTTGAACCCTTTAAAAGTCCATCAGGTTGATGTTTAATTAACAGAGTTTTTACTGCTGTGGTGTTTCCTCAGGTTTATGAGTAGACCTGAGGAAGTGGCTGAGGAAGGAAACATCACCTTCAGCGGTA